ATCATCCGTCTTTCCCTTTCCTCACTTGATCAGCCCCGAGGGGGTCTGAGCCAGAACCAACCACCCCACGTGCAGCCCATCCGCTTGCTCAATGTATCAGAAAACTGAGGCATGCCGTTTTGTCGGATACTTCCCTGAGCCTGGTATGGAAAGCCCTGAGGGTGTTATCTGTGTGTGACTTTTTACCTTCCTTAACTTTAGCAAGGAATTTCTTTTTTCTTTTAATAAACTTTTTATTTTGGAATAACTTTATCAGTAAATTGCAAAGTTGCACAGGAGTTCTTGCATCCCTTTTACCCGGTGACCCTCTGGGGCGTCCATCGTGACTAAGAAACGCATATGGTGCAACCCTGAGAGCAGGAGGCCTGGAACTCCAGACTCTGTGTGTTCCACCGGTCTTCCACACACGAGGATGCTCACCTTCTGTGCTTGGATTCAAGCCACGGCTGGTAGTACCTTTTTTTTTTTTTTTTTTTTTTGGTAGTACCTTTTGATACAGCTTCTTCAAAGAAGTGCAATAGGTACTGTTACTTTAATGTATATTACAAAAATATACTATTATCACATCAACTAGTAATATAGCTTGGGGCAAATTAAATAATAAAAGCAAGTCAATCTGAAGAAATGTGGCATCAATATGAATAAAGATGGCATACAGCTTGGTCATGAGAAATAGTGCAGCCCTTCCTTCCTTCCTTCTTTCCTTCTTTCCTTTCTTCCTTCTTTCTTTTCTTCCTCCACAGATCCACAGGGAGGTTAGGCTTGCTTATTATCACCAGCAAGTTAGTAGCAAAGTCCTGGCCTGGGCATTTGCAGCTGAGTGCCCAATCTATGCTCCATAGAGGTAGGAGGAAGGAAGGAAAGAAAGAAGGAAGGAGGTGGAGAGGAGAGAAATTCTCAGTAGAAATAAAGTTTCCATTTCAATTATTCAGCTGATCCTTGACCCCCATTACCAAGGATAATCAAAAACTGGCTGGATGCATCATGCTTTAAATAAAAACATCATTTAAGTGGCCCTGAGGACATGCAGATGGATAATTGAGTGGGGCGCTTGTCCAATTATGTGTCAGGTGAGGAGGCCCTTTTCTACAAGCTTACAAATGAGAGCAGCTCACTGTCACACACATCTGTGGAGTGTTGCTTTATGAAGGAGCTCACCAAATGCAACCTCATTTTTCATCACATGAGGCTGGTAATTAGGAGCCTCTTTTGACAGTGGAGAGAGCCATGTAAAGGCCATTAAGGGGAACCAGACTTCCAGAGGGGATTGGCTTAAAGTGAAGCCAGAGCACGCACATCCCTGAAGTAGGGCATTGTGGGACCCCACGGTGGGGGCGAATAGGAGTGACTGCACTTGCCTTTGACTGTAGACCCTGGTTTGGAGCCTTTGGAGTCTCCCACGTTGGGCAAGTCAGCTGCTGTGTGAGTTTGTCAGTCTCTCCAAGGCCCGTTGTACTTTGTTGGCCAGCAGATGTTAACTATGGACTGACTTTGTGCATGGTGGGAGTGCTGGGGCTCTGTCATCTGGATGTGAAGGCATGCCCATGCAAGGAATGGTGACCGGACAGCCACCGAAGCATTGCTGATGACACAAGGGATAGATGGACTAGAGAAGGAAGATGGACTAGAGAAGAGATAAGCAGAAGCAGAGATGCTACTGAGGGTCCCTCTCAGGAGAGTCTCCAGAGGAGAAGAAATGGCCATCAGTCATGCCTAGACTTGGGGGATCTTGGTTCTTCTTAAATTGTGTCCATAATATCTATAAGAACATTGAAACAAACAAACAAAAGCAAACAAACAAGAATAGCCGTTCACCTCATTCATTTATTTAACATATATTTTGGGGGCTGTGAGTTCAGTCCTTGGAAGAGGTTCATGGAGTTGAAGAGAGGAATGTAGGCAGCTGGATGTGGCCACAGGGCTGGGTCTTGTAGCCGCGGCTGACTTGACTCCCCAAGGCCCCTGTTTGCTTATGTGGCTGTGCTGGTCCCCAGGCCCCTGCTGTCCTCAGATCCACAGCCTGGGTGAACCAGGCGGCTGGGCTGTGGTGGCTCTGCTTGTCCCAGGTGGGCCGGGCATGTCCTGGGGACTGAATCCCACATTCTCCCAAAGGCAAGGGGGCATTCTGCTCCTCCTGCCTCAGCTCCTGCAGGACGTTTATGTCCAATTACCCAAGGCCGGTGTGGCATCGCCCTTTGGCACATTATTTGGCCCACCTGTGTCTCCCTTGGGCAGTGGGTATCTGATGTCCTCATGCGGTTTGTGGCTGCATGTGATAGATCTGTCTTAAAGAACAGTCATACAGACAGCAGTTTGCCAAAGGCCCCTGCTCTTGGCTAGGGATTGATTTATCTTTTTGTTTGTTTCGTTAGGAAAAAAAGGCCTGAGAAAGCAAGATAAATCCTTGAAAACAGTTTTTCTTTTTTGGCCGTGACTATTACCACATGCTCAGCTCACTGGTTATCTGTTGCATGCTGGAGAGAATCAAACTCTATTGTGGTGCTAGAAAGATTAGATGTGGAATGACTTATTTCTTTAATATCGTGATATAGCACATGTACTGTAGGATTCTGTTAAAGTTTATAGTTCAGTGGATTTGGTACCAGCCACCATGGTGATCTATTACAGAACATTTTCAAGACCCCCAAAAGAAACTTGGTCCTGTTTCTGGACACTTCCCACCTGCCTCCTTTCCCCCGCTTCTGGCAACTGTTAATTTGCTTTCTGTCACTATAGATTTACTTACTGTGGACGTTTCACAGAAATGTCATCTTACAGTGTGTGACTTGCGTGTCTGGCGTCTTTCACTTATTGTCATGTTTTGCAAGGTTCACCACCACTGACGGAGAATCAGAACCCCAGCCCGTTGTATTGTCTGCTGTATGGAAAGACTACATTTGTTTAGCTCTTAATCAGCGAATATTTTTGCTTTTAATCCAATCAACTCCAAAGGCTTTCATTTTGTTTTTATAAAATTGCTTTGTATAAGAAATCTTTCCAAGAAAGAGGGTAAATGGAAGTCTCTTTAAGATCTAGAAGGAGATTTTTTTTCTTTTTGTTTTTTCTCCAGTACCGGGAACCGAACTCACGACCTTGCGCTTGCCAGGCAGGTGCTTTTGCCGCTGAGCTAAATCCCCAGCCCCAGATTTTTTTTTTTTGAGGAAATCCTTGGTTAAGTCTAGGGGCTCAATGGTTCTGTTGCCTGGAAGAGTGGGTATTGTTTAGGAGACCCTGATCATCCCTTTCTGTTCTCATCTCTCTCTTTCATAGTTTATGCCCTCCCTAGCTTTTGGGACACAGCCTCACTGTAGGGGAAGGTCTCATCTCTTTAGCTTGAGATTCCTGGTGCTCTGTTGGCTGGAGCCAGTGTATGCTTCAGGGGACTGCAGAGCCCATGTGGGTCTTGAAACTTCTGCTGTGTTTTGGGGCCCCCCCAACATTCATCTTGCTGCAGCTTCTGCTCACAAAACTCTTACAAGACTGCAATCTCAGCTCAACTTCTTCCTCACGGCATCTTTCCCTAACCCTTTCCCCCCGGGCTCCCACAATGCTTTATGTGCAGATCAGTCATGGTCCAGGTGGCGCTTACAATACTCAGCACGGGGAATGGAGCAGGTGCCAATAAATCAGAGTGAACACTGGGTCAGAGATGGGTCAGGATCCCCAGCTGCTGGGTTGCAGGGGAAATGTCAGAGGCCACCGTGCCGCCTGTGCAGCCGACTGGAGGCCATTTTCACGGGCCAGCTTCATTGCAACTGGCTCTGAGCCTGTCTTTTACCCGTTCTTCGCTGCACACTCTCTGGGGCCTCTTGTTCCCATGGAGGTTTGCGCGGTCCAGGTAAGCCAGGGCATTGCTGCTGGGCCACATGGCGGCGGAAGCCACGTGAGTCTCTATAATTTGGTTCCGCCAAAGCCCAGCTCATCCTGACAGATGAAATTTCCCCTAAAATCCAATCTAGCCAGACATGAGGCTGAAATCCATGGTCAGCTAGGTATTATTAATATCAGAATGGAGCAAAGAAGCACCCTTCTCTCAAGTGAAAAAATAACACATTTCAAAATGATGGGAAATCAGCTTGAAGTAGTTTATGTTCTACTGCTCTCTGCGCAGCCAGTTTTGCATGGGTGCTGCCTGTGCCCTGTCTCCTGTCCCAGGGCATTGCTCTCTCCTGGCTTTATCCCCTTCACAGGTCCACTGGGCCTCGCAGCCCTCACTGTTTGGAGTAATGATGTTTAAAGAGAGGTGAAGCATACCACCTCCTTTACGCCTGTGTTTGGACTTTCTGGGAGTAGAGAGAACAGGGCTGAGACTGGAGCAGAATAAGATGGTACCCTGGGGGCACCATTGAAGGGTGATCAAAAATGCATCATTGAGATAATATTCTGGTGCAATATTTTAAAAATAAAAATTAATACCCACAAACCCAGATGAAGCAAAATATCAAGATGTAAAAGAAAGATGGCATCAGAGTGACCTTGGCGGGTGCCCAGCCCCTGCCATGGCCGTTTGCAGGGAACATGCTCATTCCGGGCCTCAGGCACCTGCAGGGTCAGGGTGGAGACTCTGCCCACGCCGGCACCCACCGCGGCTTGGGGAAGCAGTGCCCCAGCCGTTGTTCTTGCTCACCTGCACAGGCTCTACTCTGAGGTGGTATTTCTGCACACCTACATTTCTGAGCAGCAGCCTCTGTTTATGAGTTGTTAGATCAACAGTCACAGTAACTAAAGACTTGAGGTGTGGCTGTACTTTTTTTTTTTTTTTTTTTTTTTTT